CAGCTGCGAAACGCACTTTCTTTCCCAAGGTATTTGCATAGTCCCCATGGTGACTCACAGGAATCGAATATGTGTGTCAAGAATAAATGTGTAGTTCATTTAGAGGACCAACCACAAATCAATAAGTATTTCTGCCATTTTTAATTTTCTTTATGCCTATGTGTATACATATCCACATGCATAAGAGTAGACAAGGTGCGCAGATGGAAGAATCTCACTTCTACTTTCATGAACCCCTTCCTGGCATACTTGAAAGCTTTAGGGTCATGGAAACTCCCTCTCTCAGATTAGAGATGCACTTCAAACCACACCGGTGCCACAGAGAGCACCTACCAGCAGAATCCGGTCAGGTCTAGGACACAATTCGCCCTCTCTCCCAGGGCTTCGTCTTGGGCTTGTAGCTGCACAGTTTTTCCAGCCTGAGCGAGTGGAGATCTTGAGACTGCCTTGCACGCAGTGCAGGATCTTTGCCGAAAGAAAACGCACTGTGTTTATGGAACTCCAGTGGGAGTTTATGACATTTTTGCATAAAGCTTTATGAGGTCCAAGCCAAGAAAGCAATGTGATTTGCAGCCAAGAATCTCACTGTCACTTTTGCCTAAGCGCAGCAGCATACAAAGAAAGGACTACTTCAGTCTTTCAGTGCCAGATAGCCAAACACATTCTTGTTCTGGTTATGATATACGTATAAAATTTTTTAACAGATTTTTTAATCCAGAATCCTCTCCCATTAGAACACAGATGAACAAGGACAGCCATTCGTTTCAGAAAGTACCAACGGCAGGATTCTTTTAGAGTGGCACTTATTTCTGCAAGTAAATAGCCCTCAGCAGAAGGAAGGAACTGACATTCTGGACCAGAATATTTTATAGCACTTGCATGCTAAGCAGCAGTGAGAGAGGAATTAAGAAATATACAAATAGGAGTGCATGCTTTAGCAGAGGCTTTAAGAGTGCAAAAGTGTGGAAAAGCATGAATTTGTTTTATTTCTCTTGGTTGGTTTGCCCCTGGAATGAAAGCAGATAAAATTATCATGTGAACTGCTATCCGTGAAGAGAGGTGCAGTGAGCATAACCAGGCTAGGAGCCCCAGAAGGCTTGCAGTTGCGGCCTCTCCATTTTATGAGAGGCAAGAAAAAGAGAATTTCTGCTTTAATAAAAAACATCGGTACTTTTTCAATCTTTATCATCCATTTTTTTGCGCTGACATGAAGATGGATCTAGTCTATCCATTCTTTTCAAGACACCATGGAGACCAAAGAAGCAGATACACAGGCACAAAATATAAAACCAAAAACTACAGGAGGCATACTGAATAGCTGTTATATATTTTGGGGGAGGACTAAAACTGCTGGGGTATAAGTACAGTGGGCTACAGTTAGGTACATAAGACCCACAGATAAGATACTCTTTCAGACACTCCTGCAAAATTACTTTCGCAATGCCTGGCAGCCAGCATTAAACATAGGGTGACCTGGGGCAAACACTTATAAAGTTAATAAACAAGGAACCAAAGCAGCTGTCAGGGAATGCTTTTATGTATCAGTGAGCCTCTAACACTGTTCTGATACAGGAGAGATTACATAATGGTGCATGGGACGGCCATATAGAAAAGAGTTGCATACTCCTGACCAGATTAATCTAAATTTTCTTCCAACCAATGCGTAAGAAAACCAGTGTAAAACTCAATGCAACTTGATTTCAGTTATCCAAATTCATTTCTTCAGATGAGTGAGGAAGAAAGAGAGAATCCAAAATCCACTGACCTTCCCATTTATTCTTCCTCTTTATTGTTATATAGCTGTCTCAATAGGTTCCTACTGGAAACAAGCTGAATTCCCTACTACAAGTTTATTGGGATAACACAAAACATTATATGGGAATATGACTTTATAAGTAACCATTTTCCCCTTCTATTCATGCTTTAAATTATTTCTACTGCTTAACTTTTAGAGACCCTAACAGGTTTCCTCATCAGATATAGATTGGCAGCCTTAATCTAAACAAACTCACTGACAGCACTGTTAGAACTCATTAGCGTTCTCACCAGATGCTTCTGTCTGTATACATGAGTATCTCCAGTTTTTCCTTCCAGTACGTGACCCATGATACTAGCATAGCTTTCAAATTAAAACAAGAAAACTTAGTACGGCTTCAAATTCTTTCTCTTCTGGGGATTAAATCTGTGCAAGGCTATGACAAAGCATTGCATATTTCTTGGGCTTCTTAAAAGTATTTTTTTTGGTTTACAGATCACTTCAGTGATTTTTTTTTTTTTTTAGCATTCTCATGAATCTATACAGATATGACTAACATGCACACTATTTGCTTTCACAGCAAAAGTGCAGAGAGCATTTGTCACTATAAATTTCATACAGGACTATAAACACAGATGAAACCTGTGCTTCATCTGTCTGCACGAAGCAATGCTTTGACACGAAAGCTGTCAGAAATCATTATGGGGAAGAATTTAAAAACCTCATACAATGATTAAGTTGCCGCAGCCAAAGTAAGTATCATAAAAACAAGTTACGACCCAGCTCCAGTTCTTAAGTGAATGAAAAATTAGAGGTAAGGGAGGCCAAATATGTGGGCTTCACAAAGAATGTCTCCTTGAATCTGCAAAGCAGGCCCGATCAGATCTCATGGTTAGTTTATTGGTCTATCGGCACTTAGCAAGAAATGAAGTGGTGGCAACGATCTCAGCCCCAGCTCGTCAGTCGCATAGGTACAAAGCACTGAAAGAAAATAGATTTTCTGATTCTCTGTACCTCCCTAGAGGCCTGCGCTGCTGTCTGAGGACTACAGCATTTTCCTTTCTTGGCTCATTTGCAAGATAAACATATTCTGGCCTCAAATGCTGCTCCTTTCCAACTGCTGGTGAAAACTCCAGTCAGTCTGAGAGATTAAGAGGATGATCTAGGGCACTACTCAATCCAAGAAAAATGCTCACGTGGGAACGCAAAGCCATTGCTGTGAGCAGAGGGTTTTTTTTTTTCACTAGATGTCATTCTGCAAATCCAGATTCAAATACTTTCTATCTTTATTCTTTATCCACATTAACTTCCTTCCTTTTTTTCAAAAGGGAGTCACACACTTGGATTTAAACAGATTTTTACAGTACTAGTTAAATACTACTTTTATGAACCTATGATGACTTAAGATGCGATTGAGACAGCACTCATACCCAGGCAATGTTGGGCTGGATAAGTATGTAGTTTTAACACTTCCAAACACCTGCAGGAAGCAGCATTAGTGATCTGACAGATAGGACTCAAGAATTCTTAACTCCCCTGTATGTAAATTTATGGCTCCTTAGAGTTACAAGATACCTTGTGGGAATTTTGTAGGATCTATTAGATCAACCCTTATCCTTGTAGGCAAGCTCCAGTTCAGCTCTTGCTTTCTGCCTACCTGTCTGTCTCTGCAGTCTCTTTTGATCCCTGTTCTAAAACTGATGTATAGTGTTACGCAATTTTTCAAGCATTCACTGACTTCTACCCCAAAATCATCTGCATTTCAGTACTTGGTGTAGCAGTTCCTCCGTACTCTTCATGCTGCCTCAGACGGGTATGACTGTGCCCTAAAATCATTCTTATGGCAAGCTTTAAAACACTAGTGAAAGATATTAACAAAACTGATAGTTGTGATAAAATTATTAGTGCTACAGACAGATCTCATGTCCTTATTACTTATTCTCCTCTTTGAACTCAAGACAAGACATAAAGGTTGAGTGCTGGGTTGGAAGCTACAACAGGAAAAGGACTAATTTGCTGTTACAACAACCTTCATAAGCAAGATAATTAAACCAGGCACATTAACAAACACATACTTTTAAGGCTGAAGAACAGTTTAAGTGATCACAGTGACAGAGGGACAAATCTTTAGTTGCTATAAAGGCACGTAATTTCATTGACAACAGTGGCTAGAACAAACTTTGTCTAATTTATGTCTAGAGTTGGCCAAAACCCCACAAATCTAGAAACCCTTGAACTTTGGGAAAGCTTTGATCCAGTCCAGACTTTGTGGCCTCTGATCCACTTCAGCTGGGAAGGACCCAAATCTGCTTAAAATATATTTCACAACACATCTTTGCATGCATTTTTTTCAGATAGGTCATAAATACCACATGTACAACCATTTCTCCTCATTCACAATACCTACTAGCAGAGCCAGCTATTCCCACCTCCAATCCAATCCAGAATGTTAAAAAAGAAAAAAAAAAAAACCAAAAAAAACGACACAGGAGCAAGCTTTAGATCAGTTAACTTGCTACCAAGGAGCAAGAAGAAAGCTAAGGTACTAAAATCTCCACAGTCAGAATGTTTGGAAGAAATTCAAACTGGTGAGAAACTCTATGTGACTTGTACAGTGTGGAACAGCTTGCAAAGCCATATCACTCCCTTCTTGTTATCCCCAGGAAAACCAAAGACTCATTTGACTACAGTTTCTAAACAAGTGTATTACGCAAGCCTGCTTTTTCTGGTAAGGTAACAGCCTCATTCACTGTAGTAGGAAAGCTGTGATCACAAACCACATAGGAAGGTTGTGGTTTTCAGATGACCTAGCTGAGAGTGATGAAACTAAGTAAAATCTAACCAGGGAAAAGGAGTCTGACAAGCTCTTCTGACTGCGTTTACCACTGATAATTTAACAAATGAGCTGTTAATAACTGAAATCAAGTACAGCCAGACCCTAAATCCACAGATCATAGGACAATTCCTGCAGAAATGGACCTCAGGAAGTCAGACTGGGTTGCTCAGGGCTTTGTCCAGTTGGGTCTTGAAAACCTTCACAGAGACTGCACAGCCTCCTTGGGCAAGCTGTGCCCTTGCCTGACTTGTCCTTGGGGTGAAAAAGTTTCTCCTTATACCAAATCTGAACCTCTCTTGTTTCAACTTATGCTTGTTATCTTTCACCACCACCACCCCCACTCACCGCTGTGAGGGGCCTGGATATGTCTTGATAATTTCTCCACAGCTACTGGGCAGCTGCTGTTTGTTAGGTGCTCCCAAAGCTGTCTCTCTTCCAGGCTGAACAAGCCTGGTCCGGCAGCCGCAAGTGCTCCAGCTCCCTGACTTTCTTGGCAGCCATCTGCCGAACTTGCTCCAGTTTATCAATGTCTTCCCTGTATTGCAGTGCCTAAAACAAGACTCCCTATTCCAGATGTGGTCTAACAACTGCTGAGTAGAGGGCCATGATCACTTCCATGAATCTACTGCCTGTGCTACTGTTAGTACAACCCAGGATACTTTTGGCCTTCTTAGCTGTCAGGGCACACTGCTGGCTCATGTTCAGCTTGCTGTCTACCAAAATTTCCAGGTCCTTTCCATAGAGCTGCTTCCCAGCCGTCTAGTCCCCAGCCTGTATTATTGCCAGGGGCTCTTCCTTTCCACGTGCAGGGCTTCACATCTGTCCTTGCTGAATTTTGTAAGATTTCTGTTGGCCCATTCCTCCAGCCTGCCCAGGTCCTTCTGGAAGGCAACCCTGACCTTCAGCATTATTGATTGGTCCTCCCAGTTCAGTGTCCTTTGCAAACATGAGCACACTCTTATCACCTCTGATTCTTCCATAAAGATGGGTCCCAGGACAAAGCCCTGTGACACTCCAGCTGTCACAAGCCTCCAGTCAGAGCAGGAATCATTAATTCTCTACCTTCTGAGCCTGATCATCCAGCCATTTTTAACCCATCTAATTGTCTGCCTATCCAGACCGTAACAGTCTCATTTGGATAGAAGAACATTGTGGGAGACATTGTCAAATGCCTTGACATTAGTCAAGGCAAATGACATCCACCATTCCCCCCTGCAACAATAGCAGTGGGAGTTCTCGTACTGAACTTCAGGGAACTAGTTTTAACTCTTGGCTCTGGGAAGACACACTGGAAACAATGGCTGCTTCACACACTCTCAGAGCGAGTATTCTTCTCCAAAACACCTTTTGAAAGTATAGATTTGTATTACTGGGATTCAGTAGGCCAAATCCTTAGACACAATAATCAGCCCAGCTCCATTAAACTCAGTCTATATACAATATTTCATCTCAGCTAATGATCCTGGCTTATTACGCACCTGATATTTGTTGCCTCAACTCTATGTGCAGGTTGCACAGACAGCCCTTAGGAGCATCAAATAGGAAGAGCAAGGGAAACCAGAGAGATGCAGAAATTCCTCAGTTCTCCTGGGAGAAGCACAGATCCACTGTGTTCCTGTGACAGTCTTTCTCTTACCTTTGCAAGGAAACTCCATGCTGCATATTGCCCTGAGGTTGTGCTGCTTTTTAGCTTCACTGTGTGCAACATCAGAAAGAATCCCAACAGTCCACTGCAAGGGATGGGGAAAGCTTGTTAATAGAATCTCTTAATTTCAACTAGACAACCTCTGACAGGCATCTTGGTGTTCCTAATGCAGAACTGAACAGTCACCCTTCAAGCACTGTTAATCCCATTTGGAGAAAGAAAGCTGGTGGAAAAAGAGCTTACATTATGTCCAGTACACCTCAGGTTTTGCTCAGTCAGTGACTAGAGTCTGAGTAAAGCAAGTCTGACGCTCTTATGGCTGGTCTCTAATGCACTTGCATAATCAGAAAAGCAAAGATTATTGGAAACATGAGGTGAAATATTAACTACAGGCATTGAAATAGCTCTGAATAAAGGCAATGCTAATTTCAACAGGAGCCACACATGTTTGGCAACTAACTTGCTTCAACCTCCACAGAACCTTACACTGAAAAAAGAACCACCGGAAAGTTTTTGCTTGAAGCTTTCAAGCTGTTTAAAGTTCATGAAGCCTAAATTCCAATTAGGAAGTCAAATACATCTCTACTGTATAACAAATAGACAGATGACTCAGTAGTGCTGGGAACAGAATACTCCAAAGCTCTCTGTTAACGATTAAAAGAATTTTGATTCTCAAGTCATATAGGACAGTAGTTCCCCGTGCTCCCGTAGCCAAGACTACTCCTGAGGAAACTCTGTTCCACATCTCACTGGACCTCACAGAGCTTATAGGCTTTGGCTCTGGATTTGGTTTCACTTGTGACATACTTACAACCCACTGGTTGTGAAGCAGTAAAAATAGTGTAAACTAGCAAGCAGGGAATAGAAAAGGACTTCAAAATATGTAAGGTACAACTTACTGTGTGGCTTACTTACAACTTACTGGTTGAGAGGCATAAGAGATTACAAAGTACTGTGGGAAGCTGCATGGGGAAGGAGATAGGACCCACACAGCACATCGGAGGTGAGGCAAAAGTGCCTTGGTATTCAAAGAAGGTATGCTGATCTGGATACTGATGCAATGCAGTTGGTGGCTGCTCTGCAATAGCAAGAAGGGTGGAAGATGGTGGCTCCCTAGGTCAAAAGTTCCACGCTGGGCCACAGCACCTCAGCCAAGTGCTGTTCCCTGCTCAGTACATGTGGCAAAGTTATGTTTCAGCCACATGTCAGCACAGGTGGTTTTGATACACCAAACAGTAAGATAACTGTCCAGGACTAGGAGGTACTAGGGTTTCTTACACTGAGCCATGACACAAGACCCCAAAGGACTATTGGTAGTCTCTGGAGCTAAGAAAGCTATTTTGATGATAAAAGATATGCTCAAACTTAGCTCCCTGCTGCAGAGGATGAAGTGCTGAACAGCAGAGCATTCCACTCTGAGAAAACAGTGAGTTCAGTGAAGTAGCATTGCCCAAACTTTTGAAAATCCATCAGCTGGCTTAAGTTTGTTCCACATCTTCTGCCCTGGTGAGAAGGCCTTTTAGTCAGAGTGATTTGAAGCTGCTTAGTGTAAGTCAGAGATAAAAAGTGAAACAGCTAATTATAATACCTGAAATGCTGATGTCCTAATTAACACTGATTTATTTCATTACATAAATGGAGCCCTTTGCACCTTACTACTAATGCTTCAGACATTCTGTACAAGGAGTAGATTTAGCTGCATCAGTTACCCTTACTTTACATCATATAGGCTTTCCTCAAAATCTTTTATGTCTACAAAGACACTAGATTACAAGATGTAGGACAGCAACTGAGATGCTTGTTTCTCCATCTAACTATTCTTTCCACTTGCTGTAATGTACAGTGCTATCTACTACTACACATGTACTGAAGCTGGGGCAATGGAAGCAGAAGTAGGAGGCTACAACGCTGGTAAAATCCTAAAGAAGTGAAAGAGAAGAATATCTGGGTTAGACAGATATCTATTAGTGCCTGCAGTTAGACCTTGCCTTCAAGAAGAAGAAATAGATTTCACCTACCTGCCATGGAACAACTTATTCATTCATTGCAAGTTACTTGTAATGTGGGTAGTCCACCCTTGAAAAAAGCCACTTGCATACCAAAAAACTATGTACATAGGGAAATTATTTAACAATAATTTTTAATATCCCCTTTTAATGGAAAATCTGCACACAATTAAGAAAATCCCTAACAATCAGGAAATACTTTTGCCATCAGTTAGCATGAAAATGTTTTTTCCCCTCTAAAAAGAAAATACTTCCATTTGGCAAAAGACTGGAGGGGAAAGAGAGCAATGTATTTTTTTGAGATAATTAAGACCTATGGAAAACATACTTACATTGTCCTGTGAGAATTACACTATTGGGCGGTGAACTTTTGCTACTCAAAATAAAGGAACACTTGTTAAAGCTTTCCCCTTTTACCCAAAAAAGCATTCTGCCAAATAACAAGATGTACAGGCAAATAAATCCATGTACACCCATATACTGCTGAAGACTAATACTTTGTAATCACTGCAAACAGCAAGTTTTACAAGGGCTAATCCAACTTGAGAAGCATTTGAGAGATGCTATTTATCAAAGCTTTGCTACATAAGGTAAAAATTATTTTACTGGTGACTGGAAACTCTCCTGATCAGAATGTACTCACTCAAATAAACACATATACTTCAGCACATTTGAATCTCAGGCCTTCAAATGCATATCCACAGATACATATTCTCTGCAGTTTTACTGGCTTACGCAAGTAGAAACTAGTATAACTAAGGTTTTGCATGCTCCAAGGTTTTTAACTGAGAGTCAAGGTTGGAAGTCAATGGGATCTCTTATTTTGAAAACATTCAACTTGTGTTATAGAGAGGTTACCTGGCACAGCAGCTGCTATGAAACCTGTAGAAGTACAGGAATGGAAAGTCCAAGGCACTGAAGAGATCACCTGAGGGATAAAGCAATACATTCATTGAAACACAGGGGGAAAAAAATTACCCACTGTTACAAGCAGAGGAACAGCAATTACATGAACAGTACTAGTTTAACATTCCCTTGAGCCTTTACAGCTGGCTGACTTTTCACTTATGGTGCTTTCCACATTTCTAGTGTGTTTAATGATTTCTCTCTGACCTTGCTTCTAGCCAGTTCCTACCTTTGGCTGAAAAAGGGGAAAGGGATATGTAACAGTATCCTTTGCTAGTATACAGAAGATTCTGCTTAAACAACAGTTGCCAGTGGATAGACATGCAGCATATCCACTTCTTTTATTACAGAGCTCGTGATACTTCCTACTGAAGCAACAGGAAACACAGACATATGTTGGCTGCTTCCCCCTCCGGCATTTGAACTCTGTCACATAGAGCAAGTTGAGAAGTTTAAAAAAGTTCTCCTAGATCCAACAGAGCTCTTGAATACTTGCATTTCCAGGAACCACGGCCCCAGTTGTTCTTGGTAGCAACAACCCCCAGGAGTTGTCTGGCCTTCGGGCTCTACAAATTTGGAGGAAGCTCCATCTTTCGCTTTTTGAAATGCATGACTGTTTTGCTTAAAATGTCTGTCTATCCTAGTGGGGGAATGCTATATATACAATATGCACCACTAGGCAAAAAGGGGAATTTATGTTTATTTAAATGCTTCTTCCTTTGTTTTTCTGACTGAGCAAATGTCTAGTGAAAGCAACAGACGATCATCTTTATCCTTCTAACTATTCAAACACCAGTATGACAGGAGTATTAGCCACCATCAAATATTAAATTTCTCCATTTTTAGCCTTTGATCTTTTGCTACTTCAAGCCCTGCCATGCACTGAAGCAATGGAATACATCTTACAAAAGCAACAAATGAAATCTCTGCAGAGCATTGAGGGCAATGCAGAGAAAGAAACTCAGTTCTATATGCACTGCTGGGACACTGCTCTGAAGAGGATATATTCACATAGGGAATCCTTGTTCTTTAGCATGCACCACCTCAAAAGCTGTTCTTTGTTGTCTGTCCCATGCTGCTTCTTTGCAAAGGGCAGCTAAGAAAGGTATTAGTAAATATAATGCAAATTACACAATGCTATATACCCTCCTCTTCTCTTCCTACAGTATATCATATTACTGATCATATTCCTGTTGAATTCCAGGACTGAAATCCTACAGGGTTTGGCATCTAAAAATATGCATGGAAAGGAAAGGCAATACGGAAACCTAAAAAAGGATCAACTCAATCCACTTTACCTGCTGGATGGGATGCAGAAGCCAAAAGCACCACACTAAAAAATAAAAACAGATTAATTTTATGCTACAGAATTTATGACATGGCCTGAACATTATAAATTGACAGCTTTGTGTTTGGTTTTTTTTCATGGTGAAACTTACTCCAGTTAAATAGAGTAACTGAGGCATAAGTATCAATTTAAAAAAAAAAAAGTTGGTTGGGAAGGAATCTCGAGGGTCACCTAATACAACGTGTCACCTGAAGCAAGACTATGACCAATATTTGACCATGACCTCTGTGGCTGTGTCTCAAAAAGCCCAGTGTGGTGGATTGACCCTGGCTGGACACCAGGTGCCCACCAAAGCACTATCACTTCCCCTCCTCAGCCAGACAGGGGAAGCGAAAATAAAACGAAAGGCTTGCAGGTCGAGATAAGGACAGACAGTGATCATTCAGCAATTGCCACCACGCGCAAAACAGACTTGACTTAGGGAAATTAGTTTAATTTATTACCAATCAAATCAGAGTAGGATAATGAGAAATATAACCAAATCTTAAAAACACCTTCCCCTCCACCTTTCCCTTCTTCCCGCGCATAGCTTCACTGCTGATTTTCTCTACCTACCCCCCTCCAAGCAGCACAGGGGAACGGGGAATGGGGGTTGTGGTCAATTTGTCACACGTTGTTTCTGCCACTCCTTCCTTCTCAGGGGGAGGACTCCTCACACTCTTCCCCTGCTCCAGTGTGGGGTCCCTCCCACTGGAGACAGTCCTCCGTGAACTTCTCCAATGTGAGTCCTTCCCAGTTCTTCATGAACTGCTCCAGTCTGGGCCCCCCCATGGGGTGCTGTCCTTCAGGAACAGACTGCTCCAGCCTGGGTCCCCCATGGGGTCATAAGTCCTGCCAGCAATCCTGCTCCAGCCTGGGCTCCTCTCCCCACGGGGCCACAGGTCCTGCCAGGAGCCTGCTCCAGTGTGGGCTTCCCATGGGGTCACGGCTTCCCATGGGGTCACAGCCTCCTTCGGGCACATCCACCTGCTCCAGCATGAGGTCCTCCCCAGGCTGCAGGTGGAGATCTGCTCCAGCATGGAGCTCCATGGGCTGCTGGGGCACAGCTGGCCTCACCAGGGTCTTCACCAGGGGCTGTAGGGGAATCTCTGCTCTGGCACCTGGAGCACCTCCTGCCCCTCCTTCTTCACTGACCTGGGGGTCTGCTGGGCTGTTCCTCTCACATAGTCTCACTCCTCTCTTGCTGTTGCGCAGATTTTTTTTCCCCCTTCTTACATATGTTGTCCCAGAGGCACTACCACTGTTGCTGCTGGGCTCAGCCTTGGCCAGCAGCAGGTCTGTCTTGGAGACAGCTGGCACTGGCTCTATCAGATACAGGGGAAGCTTCTAGCAGCTTCTCACAGAAGCCACCACTGTAGCCCTCCTGCTACCAAAACCCTGCCACACAGACCCAATACACCAGGTCTCAAAAACTTCCTGGCATGGAGCTTCCACACCTCTCCGGGTAACTTGTCCCAGGGGCACTCTACCCTCCTAGCGAAGAAGTTTTTCCTCATGTCCGATCTTTAAAACACCAAAGTTGCAATTTACGGTTGTTGTTCCGTATTATACCATCTGCCATTTCTTAGAACAGTTTGTTTCTGTCATCTTTGCAACTCCCTTTCAAGAAGATGTAGGGAGTTGTTAGATTGCACCTTGGTCTCCACTTTGACAGTCTCAGCAAGACTAGCTCCTTCAAACTCTCCTTTGCGGAAGGCCATGTGCTCCAAGTGCCTAATGATGCCAGTAGCCCTCTGCTAGATCTTCAATTTCTCAGCATCTTTCTTGAACTGGGAGGACCAAAACTGAATAGAGTATTTCAGCTGCAGCCTCAGCAATGGTCTTAACAACTTCTCTCGATCTGACTGCCATGCTCCTTCTAACGTAGCCCAATATGTGGTTTGCATTAATATACCATGAGCATGCACTACTGCCTCATCTAGCTGTCAACTTCACTGTTACCCCCAAGTCCTTTTCAACAGACGTGCTGTTCAGCCAGCTGGTGACACCACTGAGACAGAATCTATAGAGAACTGTACTTGTGTCTAGATTTGAGTGTCTCTCTGTCCGAGGATTAATTTCAGCTGTGTGCGTACTTATGTCTGCCTTACAGGGGTGTGCATATATTGCATATGAGAGTCAAATATAGAGCTTTACGCATATGATTGTGCATGCACTGCACATTCATGCCCAAAATGTCAGTTAGAGAAAGGACAAATGCTGCAATTAAACAAGTTTTAAAAAAAAACACAGGAAAATAAAACCAAGTACCAGCCCAGATGATGCACACTTTTCAGAAAGATAAAAGTGAACAAGAAAATCAGCTGTGACCAGTTCTTTAGCTGGAGTATCACTGAAGATTTCTGAGGTCCTACAAAGATGTCATCCTCTGAGTTTGCAGTATAGGCTGTACAAGAGTCTTTTTCAGTGCTACTGATTCTTCCGGTAAATTTTGATTTTTTTCCAAATTTTTTCATTCCATGTTGTTTCCAAGGTTAGAAGGCTACAACAACATATTCTGGGGCACTCTAAGATGGGAGAGGCATGCATGTCTCCAAAGCAGACCTACAGCTTCCTCCAATTACCAACAACATCCACGACAAACACAAAGGAGAATGAGTGTCTGGAGAGGTTGCTTCTCAATAAGCAGCAAGCACTGCACTTACAAAGGTAAAAAGACATTCATTAATGTTATGAATGTTAAAGCCAGGCAATTTTCCCTGGCTAATTACCAGGGATTCTTACAGTTCACTAGGCCCAGTAATGACGGCAAAGAGCCAACCCAGCCAGCAGAGGAACGGAAGCCTGCACTATAAAGAGTTAAGGCAGAGAAAGAGCTGGAAGTGCTTCCCAATACACAAGGTCATGGCTAGAAAACTGAACTCGCGGCAAATGAGCTACCTCCAGTACCTGCAGCAGTACAGTATCACCAGCGTGGTGCTTACACCAGGCCAACTCCCTTTTCCAGTGATAACACAGCTACCATTGCCAAGCGTGCTTGCTCTCAGCTGGTCCCATTTCTCTACGTGACCAGGCTGCTGCGCTTGGTGGCCTGCCCTTGGCATCCTTTGGTGAACCCCAGTGTTGCTCGCAGAGGCTCCAGTAGCAAAAGGAACTGCAAGGGGCATGGAAATCCCAGGACCAAGGAAGCCTCACGGGGAAGCTTGTCACTGAAATCAGCCGCAGAAGACAATGGGCTGAAGGAGGAAACAGTTCATGAGTGACGGGCAGGCAGGTATTTTGGGCTTAATGTTTTATACAATGTCTTTGAAAGGCGTCAGCTGGTACAGTATGTTCACATTGTTGACATTTATATATGGTTTTAAAAGATGTGGTTGTCACAAAGATGATAAACAAGGCAAAGCAGTTCACTTACAGTAGGTAATAACCCCCTGCTCCTCCTCCCCACACACGTGCGCTCTCCCCGCCCGGGAGCCAAGACCAATTCACAATAAACGGGCACAATTCCTCAGTTTCCTGGCAAAGAGTGAAAAGTAATGAAGGCCTATTGCTTTTGACTGAATAACAGAGAAAACAGGAGACTGGCACGGCAAGTGAAACTGTACCAACAGTGATGAGAATTATGACTAAGCCATGTTTCTCCACTTCTGCTTTTTGCATTATTAATTTTTAAACAAAAAAACAGTAAGATTGGGAAATGCCCAGAAAGAAACTTCCTTCTGCAACCAAGAAGAACTGATAACCCTACCAGATATCCCAGGCCTTGATCCAAAGAAAACATGGGAGGAAACACAAAACCTTCTTTGTGAAGTGTGGGGCAGGTTAAGGCAAATAGGTTAGATGGCATTAAAGCTATACTATAACTCTGCTCTGAACAGAACATCAGCAAAGAAGACACAATGATGTTGTAAAACCAGATTAGGGATTCAGAGGCTTCTAGCCTGGACATCAGGCTGCAGCAAAACCAAAACCCCTCTGCTGCTCTCTTTTCCCCCTGTACTCAGTACTGAGGCTCAGTCACCCGTGGTCTTCTTTCTGGCTAAGAGGCTTTGTCACCAAGAACAGCAATTTATGCCTGCAAAGCTGCCCTACCCTATTGCTGAAAATCTACTGCAGCTTTTTTAATTCACCGAAGTGACAGATTAGCAGCTCTTCCAGAAGCCAGATGTAGTTTAGCTGCATAGAGTAGAGCCTTTACCTCACACCCTTGTCAGTGCCATTTACTCACCATTTGAAACTTTCCCGGTCTCAGTCTTTGTTTTCTCCTCAACAGTGATTGCCAGGCTATCTGGCATGCCTTTGTGAACAAATACCAGACAGTGACAGATATTGGGATGCACTGAAACTTTCTTCCAGGTTCTCCACAAGAAGTAGCATATCTCTACCTGCCTCATTGTAGGAGAAAGCCCAAGATGAGCCAGGATCCACTTCTAAGACACATTATGTATCCCTCAGCATGCCAGGTAGACATTACCACCCTCACGCTACCCCTTGCCAGCTAGCTAGGGGAGAGAAATCTGGCTCCCTCCTTGATAAAAATTGGGGACTGGAAAGCAATAAAAGAAAAATGCAAGATTACTGGAAAAACCACTAGGAAGTAGAACACTAATGCAGAAGTCAGAGTGCAGGGAAATACAATACTGCAGTAAAAAAAGGTGGTGGGAACAAGACTGGAGGATTAGAGGAAGGTTCCTGGAAGTACATTTCCCCTCTTCTCTTCCTCCCCCTCCCTGCCCCACATGTTTAAACACAAGGGAGATGGATGAACAGGATGGGGTTGGGCACCGAGAAGCAACATCACCCCTCCCTTCTCTGCATAGCACAGCTCTGCTTTCCCTCCTACACTTGTTCCTGGTCTGGCTCCCTTTTTAAAAGCCATTGAATAATCATGCTGTAAGTGATGAAGTGAGAAGAACACCACACTTTCAACATCAGCAAATATTTTTTCAGATCTGTTTGGTTCTGGAAAGTTCCTGTTCACGTACATTTGCTTAAGATGTTCTCCCCTCCCAAATTGTTCCAGATTTCAAAACAAGAAAGAGTGTATGGCATGTAGGGACAGCATATGTTAGGAGACTTTGCTAATTTCAGTTGCACCTCTGCAAGTGTCCAAGAGCGCCAATACAGTTAATGTTTCTTTTAAATCTAAATACATATTTTTTAAAGCTAATGTATTAGTACATTCTGACATTCAGTAGCTTGGGGCAGAACTTTCAATCTGCTCTATCCAGGCAGTCTATACACTCAGAGTACAACTGTGCTTTTGTACTGAATAGAAACACCTTGAACAGCCTCTACTGTAACAAACTGCAGTATTTTTCTTTATTTTCCTATATATTACAGAAAATTTCTTCACCAAATGGGTTATCAAGCACTGGAACAGGCTGCCCAGGGAACTGGTTGAGTCACCAGCCCTTGAGGTATTTAAAAGACACGTAGATGTGGCGCTTAGGGACATGGTTCAGTGGTGGACTTGGTGGTCTTAGGTTTATGGTTGGACTCAATCATCTTAAGGGTCTTTTCCAACCTAAATGATTCTGTGATTCTAAACACTATCAGGCTGTGCCCACACAGCTGCTTTCTTCTCCTTGTACAGCTGCATGTCAGGTGTCTGATCTAGGTTAGAAATAAGAAGCTATAAAGGCCTATTGATAATAGTGCTAAGAGGAGGAAATTGCACTGCTACCACACTAGCAAGTTCCTTCATAAATCATAAAATCATAGAATCATGCTCGTACAAACAAGACCACTGGTACACATTAGACTGTCTTGTTCTGGAGGTGGAACTGGGATCCTGTCATGGCTGAAACAACCCTTGAGAAGTCTTGAGTAGAGGAAGAAGCATATACGTGCTAAATCACAAAATCTAGTGCTGGACACTCTCTGACAGAGATAAACACACATTTACGGTAATTCTGACTCAGAACTGCCCGTGAGGAGTTAGCACTTGTTCAGAGAACGTTCAGAGTAAAATGAACACCTACTCAGTGTGATTTAAAAATACTTTTGACTGTTTTCTACAGAAATCAAGCTTGTGCAATAGAGCTGTGTGTACACATACATACATAGCTCTATATAGTTCTCAAACACGCTGACCAGCTTCATCCAAATTTGGGAAGTGGCAGTCATCTCCAAGATAACTACATGTGCAGAGGTCTCACAATGAGACAAACCCTGCCAGTGCTTTCTGCAGCAGAAAGATTTCAGCACCATTAGACACTGGAGGACCTTCATGCCACCTGGCAGTGACATGTCATGGAGGTCACAAACAAGGAGGGAGCTTCCACCAAATTTCACACCCTTTCAAACATCATCTGCTATTATGACAAAACAAAACTCTAAAAGAAATCAGACGTCGCTCATCCCATTGCCCCTGGTACTGTTTGTTTTCCCTAGACAAGATGAGGTCTCAATGCTATGGACATAGAAATATATACACACATACATAGACATATAGATATCCACAGACCCAAGCCAAACAAATAAGCATCCAGTCTTCTACTTTCTCTAAGTCACCTATTTTCTAGCAATTGCTTTGCACCATCATCTTGCAGCCTACACTGACCTTTAAGCCCTTAATGGTGAAAATCTTTGCAAGTTTTGGTAACATATTTTTGCTTTGAAGCAGATGCTAAAAAAAGCTGTCCTCCAATTTGCACAATTCCATTGTTGGGGTTTGTTTTGTTTTGGTTTGGTTTTTAAGAAGAGCAGTTTTAAAATACATACCACTGCACCTCACAGTTCCTTAGCAAGAAGCGTCTCCCTTTCAAAAGCCACTAATTCATTAATCATACTTTCCACGTAATGTGGAACTCCTGCTCTCTGCTGGACACAACTTCACAGACTTCAAAGGATACCATCAACTAACACAGCAGGAACCCAGCCCTGATTTTTCAATCAAAGCTGCAAAATTAAGACCTTCAGCCAAAATCTGAATTTAAAGGTTCATGTCCAGATGCAGTTTTTAACTAAAATGACAACTGAGAGCCATAGCCAGGCAGGTGCCAAATGAAAAATCAATTGATTTTACTGCTTTTTTCATGATTGTCTCTTCAACACAGACAAATAGCTACAGCTCATTCAAGACTTCAGGGGTTGCTTCTGCACACAGCAGCATATTTGCAAGTTCCATGACGAATTCTTCAAAACAATTGCAATAAACACAACTACCTTCTTTGAGTAAAATTGGTTTGCTTTGCACTTCATAGTAGATGGAAAACAACAACTGACTTAAACAAGAGCCTACTTCAAGCAATTTTCAGGTATTGTCAAAGCATGGGACCCTGGTCAATAGACATTGGAATCACACAAATGCAAAATCAGAGGCCTGCATTACTTATTTATGGAAACAGGAGATTTGATTGAACTAAGATAGAGATAGATACACAGCATTATCATGTTGATGATGCTCACAAGATAAATGGGAATTGAAGTAACTGTTGTGTTCCTATCAAGGATCTTTAATGTGGTAAGACAAGAGCACACATCCATCTAATCAAATGGACAAGCACAACTTCACTTTTGTTATGCTTATTCCTAACTTCTGCTCTCTCTTTCATTCCTTTTGACAATCCTTTCTTAGAACTTAGTACCTGTACTCCATAGTGTTCCCATACAACTGTAGCTACCATTCCAAGAAAAGAGGTCAATGTATACAAGATGTGATTATGGATGGATAATATGCCTCACTTCAAATAAAGCCTCACAAAAATCTAGTGGAACACCAAATGTTCTGTCTTATATAGCTCTTTGAGGAAAGGACTGACTTTTTACATTTTTTAAATAAAAAAACTGCAGGGGAGTTGGTCAGTGACTCGGGCTCTTTTGCTAACTACAAAATAACAAGCCACTTTCATTATCTCCAAATCAGAAAAACAACTGAAAGTCTGAATTACTCAATCCCACTAACAGCACTCTGAACAATCAGTTACTGCTCATGTTCTTTGCACATCATACTTTTGTAATCACTGCCTCCCCTTCTGGCAATTTTGTACAAGTTTTATTTTCTGAAGTGGGGTATTGCCACGGAGTTGCTCTGTAAATATTATTTCTGGAAATGATAGATCACTTGTGCACACGATGATTAAAAAATTCGTAATTAACACCTCAGTACCTCCCCAGGTGTATATTGGCATGTCCACCTACAACCAGAGCCAAAAAATTCAGCTGCTAAGCTATTCAGCTTAGCACTGTTCTTTCAGTGAATGTCCTACTAAGTAAATACATTTAAGTAGCGGTAGCTATGAGTTTCCTAAACAAGCCACGGTTGAAAATTAAAACATATACTACATAAAGTGAGCTATGGTATATCAAAGGCTTATCCACTTTACCTGAATATGTAGTTGATGTACTGTTGGTCCAGATCACTGGGAGAGGGAAAGAAAAAAAGGTGTTGGTTTTAGTAATGCACTTCATTTGCTATAAGAGATCAGTATAATAAGTAGTATTATAACACTGTAATATTATATTAATATTATATATGGCACAATGTTATAATTGGGTAATACTAACATTTTAATATAATTATATAAATTATAATCACAATCTATTAATATGGTAATATTATCAATATATTAACCAGCATATTCATTTACACAACATTTGCACATTATTTCTCTCATTACTATGTCAGTGGGAGTCTCATTTAAAGTGAAGATAAAGTGAGACTGACTAAAATTTAGACCCTTTAAACAGAGACAAAAAATGGTTTTGGAATAAATGAGCTTATCCATATTCTATACAGGCATGTATTATGTACATACACATAATACGCACTGGCAACATATCCACCTCCACCTATACAAACAGATTATAGACACTGTGAATATGTAATGCCACCTGCTTTCAAAACAGCTGTTTTCTGGCTGAAGTTCTAACACCACACGGGATTACTGCAAGGTTTCAAGGTTTTTAAGGTACTCGTCCATTCCAGTCCTGTAGCAAGTCACCAGCTGCTAAACACTATCGAGACTGTGTCGCAAAGGGAGATACTGGCAGATTCAAACCAAGCAGCTTTCAAAGCTAACACAAGCTAACATTTCCTCTTAATGCCTGTGCCAGTAACTAAGGGTTCTTTTTCCAGGACTGAGTCATCATCCTTTGATAATACACTGTTTAAAACTAATTCAGTGTTCGAGTTAGCAGTATAACCATCAATAACCACATGCTATTGTTATCAACAATAAATAAGGCTCCTCTTGCAAGAGAAGTCATTAATGATTAACCACTGAGTGGCCCAGCTCACACTGACATTGCAGAGATCCCTACAGTTTACCTGACTGCTACACAGATGTGTCTCTAACCCTCTTAGAGAGCAATCTTTCTTTTTAAAAGAATATGAAAACACATTACCTTAAAGAGCTAGGTTTCCATAACTTCTGAAATACTTTGTAAGCCCCTGTAATTGAAATGACACATGTAATTGCCATAACATGCAATCGTTCCGACAAACAACAGCTTGTTTGGCTGTGGTACCCACAGATGTGGAACCCCTCTGAATTACAGTTTAGCAACATGGCACAAAGGATGCCTAAACCATGAGTAAAATGAACCTATCACTTCAAATTAATGGTTTTCAAAGTGTTATCATCTCAGAGTGCTGTCATGCTATGTGTTTCTGCTACTCCTTCTGAAGAAGAGACAATTCCTAGCTCACGGCTAGGAGGAGCAGGCATGTGTGTGTGTGTACACGTGTTTAAATACATACAGAAGAGTGTTGCAGAATGGGTTCTTCAGCCCACCCCATTTTTTGGGTAACTTCTATGATGTATTCTTCTATGTAGACCCCTACAGCTGTTGCCTCTGAGCAATCTTTCCTGCTTAGAGTTCTCTCTGGAAGGTTCTTTACATTTTTGATGTGCCCACCTCTTGGTTAGCCCCCATTTCTATTTTGGGAGAAGCCTTAAGCACTCAAGAAAGGAACAACATAGATTCAAGCTCTTCAGGGCTTTGTTGGGGTTTTTTTGATTCACAAAGAAAACCAGAACATGAAAAGCAAATTCAGTAGAATACTCTGTAATAGATGCCCTCAATTCTGCCTCTGTTCGACAAGCTGAAGGGTAGAACACATGTCCTTTCTGTAATGCTCTGTCTTGATTAACTGCCTGATAAGTTAGTTCATCTGTTTGCCCTTTCTTGTAGCATCTTTCTTCTGTATTAGTTGATAGGAACTCTAATTACACAAAAAAAAAAAAACCCCAAGAGTCTTATAGACAACTTTCTCTCAAAAACAAGAGAAATGGAAAGAAGCTACATTTTGAGCATAAACATTATGTTGGCACTTCCTACACATTTCAAGCCCACAGAAGGAGCCTCCCGAAGACTCTCTAAGCAGCTTTCCACCTCTGTGGCGTAGCAGTGCTTTACAAATGAGACCTCTCGGTTTTGAGAAAGCAGTAACATTACTCGTTACAGCAAACAAGTATTTGAAGTGAAAAATCCTTAGCTTTTTGTTTTATCTAAATAAGCAAATGTTTACCATATAACATTTCCTAAAGGAAAAGAAAATATATTATTTATTTGTATGTTAGCAACATTTTCCAATGGGATCTCTAGACTTCCCCTTCCCTAGACAGAAATAAATATAAACACATAACCTCTGCCCTGAAAATTTTGTAGTATGAATAGGCAACATAAAGAAGGAATCATCCCTAATTTGCAGACAAGACTTAGCATATGAGTCACTTGCTAAGTCTATAGGACAGCTAAGAACCCAATACAAGTTCCTGATTACCCAGCCTTGTGCTCCAAAAGACACAAATCTCCTAGTTAAAAATTACTATCCTTGTTTTCTTCAGATTTTCTGGCTCTGACTGTTTCTAGCTTTTCAGGGAAGAATTATGATTTATCCAAATCAATGTTTAGTCTGAAAGAGACACAAGAACACCTGACAGGTCATGCAACTCATTGTTAAAATTTTTTTCAAATGCATAAAACCCCCCAACATTTCAACATTCTTCCTCTGGGAGCATATTCCATGATAGTTTAGAATATTTTTGTCAGTTTTTAAATAAAATCAGTATGTGCAATAAAGCTCCAACTACAAATTATTGCTTGGGTTTTTTCATGTTTCTTCTCCCCTCAGAAAGAAGTGTCTCTTTGTAGCCAACCATCAAAATGTCCCAGAAAAGCTAGGTGCCGATTAAAATTGTATGTGCATTTTCTCATCCACTGTTAACTGACTGCAATATCTGGTTTATTCTGTTGCTGTTTTCAACACATAAAAGGAATGTACTTTCTTATCTTTACTGAGCTTCTTCATTCTTTCCAAGTGTTTCTTACATGAAGAACCTTAAATATCAGTAACTTCATAATAAAATTGATTTGTTTCTCTAACACATTTACTCTTCCTTTTTCCAAAAGGAAATTACTTACCCACACAGATCAGGTGAATTAGAGCCCATAAGTAACCGTTTGGATCAAACTGCAATAAAGAACATCTACATAAATAAATGCAGGTTCATGTAAACATACATATCACTATTTCTCTGCAGTTAGCTTCACAAAGTAAGTACAGTGAGTGGGAGCTATGCTACAAAGAAGGAAAAGATGACTAAAGAAGACTAGAAAGACCAAAGTTTTTCCTGTCCTGCTTAGAGATCTGGCATATGCCAGTTACCCAGGCTCTCAGGTAATCTTGGCAAACTGTATTTCTTTCACATACACACACCATTTTAAACAATCAGAGAACATAGACCCCAGTCTGTTTAATCTTGTATTGGCAGTTGGGGGGACAGAACAAGAGGATCAGAGGAACACCACTAAGGTTTTTGTCTTGTCTCCGTTCCCCTCTCAGCCCCTGCAGCAGCTAAGTAGTCTCTCACTAACAGAGCAGTACCCAAAAGAGTGCTTTAAACAGACATCTGCCTCTGAGCAAGGTAGGTTCTCTTCACAATCAATGGTGAAAAATAAACATTTTTGAGAGGAATTCACCTGGCATATTTTTGATGTCTGCTTTCAGGGGAGATGAATTATACACCAGAAGTTACTGCTCTGCACCAAGGACTATGAAGGGAGCTGGTGCAGGTGCAACACTTCTGATGACTACATTTGATCAGATGCATCCAGACAAGTCCCCAGATTCATCTCATCTGACTTCAGATATTAACTAAAGGATCTAAACCAAGGATTCCCAAAGAGAAAAGCACCTCCAAGGAACAGATCCTTGCTGGACTGAGCACTCTCTGGAGGTACCTCCTTTCTTTCTCCAGTAGCTACAGAAAGCGTGTAGAGTGATTAGATGCTCTAAGTCCTATCAGGAGTTAAACCGTGGTTTCCCCAGCCACCACCTTCACCAAAGAGCTGCATGTCTGCACAGCTCAGAGGTTTTACCACAATGCAAACACATTAAAACCAGCAAGACTACAACACAGCAGAAGGCAACATTTACAATTCCTTCACAGGTATCCCACCCTAGGTTACAAGTAAAAGCTGCATCCCTCATATGCTAACAAGATGTCAAATATCACGGTGTAACTAGAGCTGCTTTACGAAGCAGAGCTCACCTGTGTGTCACATAAAGGTAGGCACACTGCTGCTACCAGGAGGAACAGCACACTGTGGAGAAGAGAAAAAAACCAAACAAGACCAAAAGCTCATAACCTGGCTTTGTACTCTCAGCAAAATACAAGTAATTCCACTCAATTTTACTCTGACATTTCATTTGTTTAATTTTTATTCTAGATTTAAAAAGTAATCTCTGCCATCAAAATTACATTTTACATCATGCATTCTTCATAACTCATGCATAGCAAAGTTGTATGAGCAGAGAAGCAGCACAAAACATCTCAGCAGTGATGAAAACAAGTTTTTTGGTAGGGGATATTATTCTTCACTTGCTATCTGGCTTCCCTAGGCTGCTTCAGAAAGCCAAAATCAACAAATTTCTGGCTGCAAATGGCTACCAAAAAGTTCCTTTATTAAGGTGAATTGCCTATTACAACAATTCCAGCAGAGCTGACTCCATTAAAAATTATGGTGCAACTCCAGAATACAGAGAAAAGTGGGAGTGAAGGGTATTACGCTAGAAATGGTTTAAGGACAGCACAAGTACTCCCCTAGTCCACTGACTTGAACTAAATAAATTCTTAACCTGTGGCTGAGCTAGTATTTCTACAGGCTACATTGAGTACACTGATGTGGAATTTCTGTGGACTGCCACTATTAATAATAACAAACATTTGTTTTTGCAGCTTATTTTCCTGCTCTCTAGGGGCACAGGAAAAGACAGAATAAAGATGATAAAAACTCCAGTATCCTTGACAATAATCCAGTGGTGAAAACAAGGCCACAGTAAATCAGATAATGGAAACAACAGGAAGAAATTAGGAAGATGGAGCCTCTAAGTACAGTAAATAATAACCCAACATTACCCACTCTAAGTACAGCAAAAAGATTACAGAATGTGGAGGACAGCAAATATATGTTCTTCAAGGGAATGGGGGGGAAGAATGAAACTTTTAACACATGACTGGCTGGCCCAGTTTGTCCCTTTCTATCTGCTTTTTGAAGCCTAAAAACTAGGGCCAACACGGGTTGGTAGGTTGAGTAGCTTAATACGAATGATTCCAGCAGAACTGGGTATCACTCATCTTTTGTTTCTTAGGAAAGGCATTTTAAACTATTTTCTATCACATTAATTACCTTTCTCTTACTGTTTCAGATCACCCACTGGAACTTCAAACCTGATTTCTCTCTCCTTTCCAAAAACACACTCAGAAGCACCGCTTTGTTATTCAGGAAGACTGGCCTTCTGTTTTTTTTATTTTTATAAGGAAAAAAAAACATATCTGTTTTTAAAAAATCTGTTTAAAAAAATACATTTTTAAAATACTTAATTACTCCTATGTTGCAATTTAGGCTCACTGCCCACGGGAATGTGCCTTACTTTCTTCATTGTTTTGGTGTGCCATTATCTGAAGCAAATACAGAAACTAGAGCCAAAACAAGTCTGAATCTGAATCTGAGCAGTTTTAGAAGCTTACCTACAGACTTTCAGATGAGAGGTCTGCTGTAAAAAAGAAAGTATGATTAAAAAAATTAAGATTTAAAAATAAAAACGGTGAAATAGTGCTTTCTCCTTCCAAAAACAGGAAAGGGATGACAGCTGATCTTACTGCACCAAACACATTAAAAATCCAGTGAGCAAAATTCAACAGCCCATTATGTTTGAGCACTGCTTAGCAAATTTAATTTGAAAAAAAGAACCAGGACTATAGATTAGCCTACTTCAACTTGATTTATATTTTCAGATTACTTACCAGCAGGTAAACCTAAAACCAGACATGAACTTTATACCTGGTTCTCAAATTTAATTTGAACTATATCAAAACTATGTGTTGTATGTACTCAAATATTTGGTATTATCAATTAATTAGGTACTACCCCAGCCTAATCAGTCTTGGTCCTTGGTCTAAACTCATGAGAGTTTCCCAATCCTTTGGTCCAGAAGCTTCCCAGCAAGATCTGTGTTTGCATTATCCTTGGCCACAGCGCTTTTGTTTTCCAAGAGAGGAGACATAAACATGTGAGCTAGAAGGAAAATATGAAACACTCTGACCGGGACGCTAGAGGACAATGCTACAGAGACATGCCACGGTATGCACTGTTATGTCCCTTAGGCATAACCTTAGTAACCTCTTTAGTTTGTTAGAAGTAGCAAACATGGGCCATTTATTTGTCTTCTGTATACACAACAGAGGTAATCAATAGAAGATCCCTTCCACAGCAAGCCAAGGGCCACTGTAGAAATGACTTTGTGATGAATGATTTCCCAGTGTTACCTCATACAGCAGCTCTCTGGTCAGTTAGAAAAGCATTTCGTAGCCTAAAAAGAAGGCTCCCCAACGCAGTTTGTGAGAAACAAACGCAGCACTTTAGTAAAGGGAGCAGGAATTACTCTCCTGACTTTAACAGGTCTTGTGACAGATTCTCAAGCATTCAAAACAAATCCAAAAATGCACTGTTTTTCCTGCATTTCATGTGGAGATGCAATCTATCTATAATTGTACAATACAGCAAATACTAGATATATTATACTGGCTAGATGTAAGGACCCAGACCTCCTCCCCCTCAGCTCAAACAAAAAGATTCTTACATGGGGCATGAAAGAGAGGCAGTATTAATTTTCAAAAGGAAAAAACAAGCAGGACCAATCCAGTCTTAGAAATGCAGATCAAACTATCAATACACATTTGCAGTGCTTCAATAACTAAACCGGAAAAGAAAACATCAATACAGATACTTGCCAACAGCAAAGCTGTCTCTGGGTTTCATTAATGACTGGCTATCACAGGAAGACTAGAAAAGCACATGGCACTAATGTCCCTATTAAAAGAAATTAGGTGTTTTGTTATAGGGCAATTGTATCACAGGAGGTACCTTGAATGTATCAGTAATTGGATCAATTACCTCTTTCTGCACGAACTTCTGGAACCCACAGGTTATAACTTCTGCTGCGTTGTGCACGGTGAGAAACACCGGGATTGGCTGTCATTGGGAGAGAACAAAAATGTTCAAATCAACCCAGAACAGTCACACACATAGGAAAAGACACTCCTCTTACAGACAGCTGTCCCACATGTTCGTGGTTTTGGGTTTCATTTTGTTTCTTAAGATGTAAACCCATGCCACATCTCCTAAAAGGGACTCAGACCCATTCCAATCACTGTTAGGTGGCACAGGCATCTTTAAATGCAGACCCTGCTTGCTGCTCCTCCCACTTTCAAGTGCTCAGTCAGTTTGTATGTACACAATGACCTTGGTCAGATTTGCTCCAGGTTTCTGCCTCTACCTTTGCCTCTCTGTTCAAATACCTGCAGCCTCCACAGTAAACAGTTCTCATTAGTTTTCCCATCTCTGTCTACTGGTACTAAGAATACAGTGTAACTCCTAGCAACAGAATTATTGGGCAAGATGTTTTTAGGTGATAGCTCTCAGTTACTGCTAGGAAGAACTGCCTGAAATTAGGGTAGAAATGTAATAGTTCATACACAAGTGATGTTGAAATTATACCCATTGAGGTATCTGGACACCATCCCAACATGAAATCATTAAAAAACAAACCCCAATGATAACAATAGTGAATCAAACAGCCAGTGCCCCAGGCAAACCCAACCAGAATTAGCGGTTCCTAATACTTCCTCCAAATCAGATCCATGGTCTCTAAGTTGAAACAGAAGCAATTCTCTGCTCTGATTAAGATAATCTAAAGACTAAGGCAGTTTTAGGAAGCAGTATTTCCCTCTTGTGTATAGTATTTAAATGACACAAGTAAAGAATGAGTTAATTTCTCAGTGGTGTCTATGCCTTTTAAGTATCAGATGATATAAGCAGCAAATGTCTCTTAAATTCGACTTTGTATTCAGAAATCTGTATTTTCTAGATTTTTCTTTTCATTCCCATAAAGCTGGATAAGCATCGCTAATTAAACATTTTAAGTCATAATGACAGCTTGGGTGGATCCATAAACACAATAATTACACCAAGATAAATATTAACACCTCTAAATTAGCAAGGAATGAAAATCATACAAACACAACCGGCATGAAGTTGTCAGTCCCAGCTTCACCGATTTTGAAAACTGATGCTCAACCCTGTGCTGGACAACTGAGAAGTATCTAACATAAGCATCCTGAGCCTGACACAGTAATAGAAAATACAAGAAATAACCATACACAAGGAAAGTTGACAGCAGAATTTACATTCTTCCTTTTGTGAAGCAAATTTATTGGGTTTTTCTTTCCTCCCCCCTGCTTTTGGCTCTTCCAAATGTGTTTTGGAGCCAACAATGGCTCCAGTTTGCCTAGCCCAGTTAACCTTCTCCATATGTCTATTGTCTTTGATGTGAGTATTTCTTAAATTTGTGAGTGGGCTTAAAGCTTACAAAAAGAAAGGTTTACTGGTTGGGCAGGCAGGGTGAATAGACTCTATACAAACCTCCCCTCACAGCTCTGCATACTTTTGTTAATGCATCACAGTCCAGACCTAAGCAGCCCTCCTCCAGTTCCATCCCTGAACTCCTGGGCAGGGGAGACTGCCAGCACCTCTAGGGAGAGGCACAAACAGAGATTAAGATTGTAGCCCTGCCAGTATAACAGGAGTGTTTGAAAGTGGGTCTCGCTGGCTTTGATCAAAAAAGTGCACGTAATTTCTGCTTTAGGAATAAAGCCACTTAATTCAAATACCCTGCTGAGGTGAGCCAGTTCAGGTACAAGTTTGGGAGAGTCCATTTTCCTTCTCACTGTCATAAAATTGTTGTACGTGAAGTTATTGTAAGTAAAGCTTCTATGTAGAATTGAATTTAGCCCCAGTACAAGGCACCACCATAGTAACTATGGCCTAAGACTACTTGTCTTTTCTCCTAAAATGGCCACAGAATTAGGCCTCTAAATCCCCATTCATGTCCAACAAAAAGCTATTCAGAAATGGAAGATGTCCCTTAAGAAAGGTTCGAGATGCAAATCAAAACCATTCACAACCCCTCTGCCACTCCAGTGCATCTTGCTCTTGAATGACCACAGCAGGGACAGAAGGGAAACAAGGTAATTTATGGGATGACTAGGACAAAATAAAAATAAGAAGAAATAGCAGAGAGGATGTGATATATATGAAGATACCTCCTCTGCCTCCCAGGTGAGCAGAGAGAAAAGATGCTGCTGCCAAGGCTTTATTGCTGTTTCGAGACAGGGCTCTGCTTAGGGATCTTTGTTCAGTTTACATCGGGGAAGCCCAATGGAACTTGCTTTGACAAGGAATCAAGAGGAAGTACATACAGTCACCTCAAGACAGAGCTAATCTGGAGGACATGGGGCTTCTGAGCACATGCCTGTGCTTTCCAAAGGTCACTTGGATTCAACATGAGGCCCCCAGCCTTGTTTGTCAGGACAGAGACTTGTCCTTTTCTGACCTACCACTTCACTGGGATGTTCAAGGGATCACTACAAGCAGAATCTTGACAAAAATTCCCTTTTGGTTCTTCCTGGGTTTTAGGAGCTGGCAGGAATGAGATGGCTCTGGAATTAGATTAAAATGCATTGACGGAATGCAGAAGGGAACTAGTGCAGAATCTGGCCTTGCAGACTGTATAACAGCAGTAAAACATTGATTGTTTTTTAAATTCATGTCACCATTTGTTTGGGGTTTTTTTGTTGTTTTGTTTTTCTTTTTAAGAAAGACTATATCATTTAAGTAAAAAGCATTCAACTTTCATTAAAGTAGATTTGATATCCCCTAAACATTTGGTAGGTTATTGTGATTCAAATGGATCATAAAACTGATTAATCTAACCCTTCCCATAATCTCTTTCCAACTTTCAATTTATTTTTTCAAATCCTGTAAAGCATCAAAAGCCTCTCACTGAAATGATCTTCAACCTTTTCCTGGAAGGATTTCCCACAGATCCCACAGCATCATTCCCCCTTTTGCAAAGTTACAGCTAGTAACTTCTTCAGCTTCTTCCCTACTTGCACAATTCAGACCACTGAGGATCTGTTCTGAAAAACATTGAGTACTCTGGAGAGATGCTGAGTGCTTTGGACTGTCACAGAAGTGCTTTTTGACACACCTCTACACTTCATAGGATTGGACTGCTGCTCTAGCCCCATTAACAATGTATGTATTATTTAAACCCTCCTCCCTTCTTTCCCCCCAAAATCAGGAACGTTATTAAACACCTTGTATGAAGGGAATGATCTTGGCTCATAAAGTAGAGGTAATAAAGAACTGACTTCTACTTGTGCGTTTCTTACCAATCTAGACAGTGCCCTAGAGCCAGCATAAATAACGCCAACAAACAGTACTGAAGCAGGAAGCCATGACAAGATTTCAGACCTGTGAAAACAATTAAAATCCCATTACTTCACCACATTCTGTTTACATACAGCCAGCAACAGTTGCTTACAAGGAATATAATAATGCATATATATGTACATATATTTTAAATGTGTGCATATTAAATTCATTGTCTGATTGTTTAGTATTCTTCCCATATGGTAAAGAAGCCTGAGACAGAAGTTAATCACTTCATCTAATCCCAGATAGAAGCTATCTGCAGATATATTTTCTTTTTTTCACTCCTTCCCTGGCTCCTCTCCCTGCAAAATTGTTTGTTTCATAGCAATTACTCCTATTGGTTTTAAGAGAGAGAAATTTCAACTAATTTCCTTGATGCGCTGTAAAAGGAAGAAAAACTGACAAATGAAGGCATAAAATGGCGCACTTGCACAGACAACACACATTTTCACCATGTACAAATACACTTGCCCACCCACACATTCATTTCTCAGCCAGATTTACAAAGAGATTCTTCCTAAAGATCAGATTGTCTCTGTGGGAGCCTGTCTCTTGAGATTTCCTAATGAGGCTCCTTTGACTAAGCCAAACTCCTAGAGGCAGTTTGACAACTAATGGAGGAATGAAGTCATCACAGATTGATCTGGGGGTTTTTTTAAGCCATGATTATTGCAGTAGGGTCAGGCTTCAGTTCTGAGAAGGGGCTTCAGAATTTGCACTTTTCCTTCTTTGATCTTGGTACTTCAGGGGAAAAAGGGATCAGGTAATTTTAAGATTTTGAGCAAGGGAGGAAAGGAGTAGCAGTGATCTAAAGGCCTGATCCAAAGGCTTCCCAGGACTGAAGACACTGCTACCCCCCTTCACTCTTCCCAAGCTTTGAACTAAAGTCAAGAAAATGTTAGTGAATAATGCTGGTTCTCAAAATGAAATCGAACTGCTTGTACTTCTTTAATTTGGATTACACTTCCAACTAGCATGTAAGAGTTAAAATGTAATTATAGGTGCCACTACACTACCACACTTCATGAGACACAAGAAAAATAGACCACTAAACGATGAAATCAGCGCAGTCTGAATGAAGATAAAACACGCCCGAAGATTCATGTAAACACAGACAAGGAAAAAAACCTAAACATCAAGTTTCCTGGTTTTTTTCGTATGTAATTTTCTAAGATACTGATCAAAAACCCAGGGTAACGAAAATAAGAGTAATCTTTAGATCCTTCCACTGGCATAAATATTTGCTCTGGTTTTTGGGGTAGTCACCATCATTTTTCATAAAAACACTGTTCCTTTTAAGGTTATTGACTTCAACTGGAATTTCACCAAGACCAGGATCTAAAACTGTCATAACTCATTACCAACAAGTTCACATCAGACACCAACAAAAATACCCTCACTCTATTGGAACAGCAACAAATGGAAGAGGCAGGGAAGAAAAGAAAGGAGGGCTGGGAAGATGAAAGAAACACACGATTAAAACTGAATTTTCATTTAGAACATAACCCTCTTTCATGTTCCCCACCACTAAATTCTAGGAATCCCAAATATATCTTCATCTCCAACGCAGTACTGTGAAGTGCAATGGAAAAGGACTTTAGGTCTTTTCCCATGATGTAAGGGTAGAATTTTATGCTGCCAAGTGGGAATTTCAGGACTGAAAAAGAATGCATGGATGTTTGATGTAATGTGTCAGCACCAACAATCTGTCCTGTATGTAAACCAATTAGTAGCTTCTTGTGTTGACAATACAGGAAAGCTGAGTGACATAAAAGAACTGATGAGCTTGTGGTTGTAGGGCTAAATCCAAAGTCCACTAAAGTCAACAGGTAGCTTCCCCGTAACCACACTTTGGAGCTTTGGTTTAAGCAAGGCTCTGAGCTGCTGCTTAGCTTTGGGGAAAACTCAGCACTACAAGAAACGCCAACCAGAACACACAGGACTTGCGTCCCTACAAGGCTTAGGCAGAAGCTGGGTGGCAGATCACAGCGCTGGAATCATTATGCCGATGCTACACATATTCCTCTGCGCTCCACAGAGCCCTTGCTTTGGACACAAGTTTTGCAGTTACCATTCACCCTTTAGAAGCAATGATGATGGTGACAGAATCCCTCACAGCTGGGAGTACTGCAGGGAAGCAGATGAAAAGCAGAATATCCACAAAACCTAAAAGAAACTACTCTAAGTAATATGTTTTTGTTTGGTCTTTATTGTCAAGATAGATTGTATTCCTGACTTCAGACAAAGGGTGATGATCTCTATGTAATACTCTGCTGGGACACTTTGGGATAACCTGAACTGTCTCAGAAAGCATATGAGATCAGTCCACGTGACAGAAATATTGAGACTTTGTGGGAATAAACAAACAAACGTGTAGGAGTTCATTATTTGAAACATGACAAGATTGAGTACTGGATATGGTATTCTTAAGTATCCTACACATACAAAAAACACCCGAGAAAGAGTCAGAGACCAATATTCTGTAAGCGGGGGCGGAAATGACCACACCTTTGGAGAGGCAAGGAGCTTGAGAGGAAGCGGCAGACAGAAGCTTTGAGACATTATGTTTGTTTGTTGGGGAGGTTTTTTGTTTGGTTGCTTCTTGGGGGGTTTTGATTTTGTTTTTAAATGGAGATATATGCTACAAGTCCAGTTCAGCAAAGCATTAAAACATGTGCCTAATTGTTCTGAAGAAAGAGAGATTTAAAATCATGCTTAAGTACTTGGCTGAACTATAGCCAAAACATGTCAATTAATTCTGGTCATTTCATTCAGTCTTTTCTAGAACATGCATTCTGTATTAGCTAAACTAATGAAGAGGTTTCGCAAGACGTATTTCAATCACTTTTCCTACAGTGTGCTGACATCTAGTGGTCTGAAGTCTCCATTGTCAAACCACGAATTAATTTTTCACCGAAACTTTTCTTATATAAAAACATCCTCTTCAACACCATGAAATGGTTCTTGCCCAATATTTTCTTTAATGTCTTCCAAGTTTTGAAAAAATGAAAATATCTTTTCCAAGCTGGAAAAAAAGATTCAACTTCTTTAATTTCACGATTCAAAGCAAAAGTAATCATCTAGTGATGAAAAGCTTAACTAAAAAGGGTATTACTGATGCCTGTATTCTTTTGTCCTTTAGACTGTTCTGTGAAGACAAAATCTGCATAAGCAATACACATTTGATAATAATATATATATCAGTAACTGCCACTAAAGCAAGGTTTGGACCCTAATTCTGCCTCTACTGATAACATTGACAGCTTTTACACCAATATCCTCATTTTATCTACACTGTAGATAAAAGATAGGAAGTTAAATTCTGTTTCCATTTACAGCTTGACTTTGATGTAGTCATTTGCATGGACATGAAAACAGAACTTAGCCTAGTGCTCCTGATATATACACAGGATTTCATTCCAAATAAGGAGACTCAGTTTTGCAAGCCAACTGTTTGAATCCCAAACAGAAAATTCATCAGTTGCCACTTGCTAATACAGAATCACTGAAAAAAGTTACAATGGAAGGAAACTCTGGCAGTTATCTAGTCCAATCCACCCCGCTTCAGAGTGAAGTCACATTACTCAGGTCACTGTCCAGTAAAGTTTTGAATACCTCCAGAGATGGAGATTCAACAGTTGCTGTGGGCCTACATGTTCTAAATTACATTTTGCCAAATAAAAAAAAGATACGCCACCTTCCATACCACAGAATGGACCCACTTGAGCACAGTACAATACCTTGCACGACACTGAGTTGCCATCACACTCAAGAAGATGACCTTTGTCGACAAAGCACCTTTTAATCTGGAGTTTGATTATTGCAATGGCTGTACTGGAATGGCCGCTTTGATTGTGCAGTTATAAATGCTAGAGTTAGGCAAAGGTGAGTGATTCCCATTCATGAAACACACTTAGAGAAAAAGGCAGGTCACATTTGTGGACTTCACTGCACTGAGGTTTTGGGGAAGGGTGTGTCAATGCTCTTAACTAACATTACCAAGGTTTCTCTTATAATACTATAAAATAATACCGGGAAGAGATGCAGATAGACAATTGGGTAAGTTATTCTTATAGTTTTCACTAATGGCTATGCTTTTTCGGTTGTCTTACCAAGGCTAAATTTAATCTACTTTATATTAGCAATCAGTTGAAGTGTGTGTCATTGAACATTCATTAGACTAAAACACAAGATCTCTTCTACATCTATGAAGCAGAACACATACAAACACACACACACAGAGACTTGTATTTTAGCAAGTTAGTAACTTCCACAACCAACTTAACTATGTCATAACCCAGCCACAGAAGATAAGTATTTAGCAGATACTGAAAACCCCACAGTACCTTGAACACAAGTTTATCTCCACCCAGCCCAGCTTCCAGGAGACATGAAGCAGAAGTCCGCCCACTAATGTCTGCCACCTGAAGTAGAAACAAAACAGCACCTCTGAATTGTTTGTCCTTTTCAACCACTTGGAGCATGGCCTTAGAATCCACGAATTTCTCACAGCACACGCATGACTAGTTATCTACTGTTTCTCTAGGTTTCTAGGGATGCCACTATTCCTCTCTGAATTTTTCATTTTTGTGGGCCTTCATTTCCTCCAAATTTTCTAATGCTGTTTCTTCCACCTTTTGTTTCAACTGTTTTGTAAATTACCATCTACCACAATTACCTTAGTCATGTTACTGAATCTCCATTTTATCATCTCCTCCCACACAAGGTTTACAATAATAATAGTGATGTAACAGCCATGATGATCTGAAAATGGAAGTGAGGCAAGGTTTGTGACAAGAGATGAATATCTTTTCATACATAAACTGTTATTGTTAGAACAAATAAACATGATTTCAGGATTCAAAGACTCGCTTCAGCTAAAGTAATAAGCCCCAATGATGATGTGGTACTCCTAGTAGTTTCAAACATTAGGTCTATGACTTCCCATGGTTATTCATGCTGGGCTTAGATTACAAACTCCCTCAAACTCAGACCTTCCCTCCCCGCTACCTACATCTTGTGTAGCAAGCACAAAGTGAAGTGTCATCAACAATAACATCATTACACTACATGGGCTTCTGATTCAGAGCCTCTAGAGAAAACACATTTACAGACAGATAACCTTGCATATAAACCACAATACTGCAGTTTTCTCGTTGAAAAGCTATACAACAATTACATACATTCTGCACAGACTTAACTATCTAATGACTTATCTTACCATAAAGACGTTCTTTAGTGTATTATGGAAATAGTATGTGAGGCCTTTGAAATGCTTGCAGATAACTTAAAATTAGTAGTGATGCACACTGATTTTTTTTTTTTTTTAAGCTTTAAAATAAGTTATTAACTTCCTTCTTCCTTAAGCTAGTGGTTTTCAGAGAGGTGTTTCATGTTTCTTGGGTGAAAATCCTTGGACATCTAGCACAGTTCAGACAGAGATACTGTACTTCAGTGTTAAATCACATAAACACCTTTAAGAGGTATAGAAGTGATTTTATTTATTATTCCTATTTATTGCAAAGCATTTAAGCAATTATTTAAAATCTCTCTCACATATGCAGATAAAAAAATATTCACTCTATGTAGTATTACATCCAGTTGGACAGTGTCAGAGAAGAACGAGCTCATTATCCGCATGGGTTTGATGAATATTCAATGCTACTATCACAGCTCTCTTCACCTTTTTTAGGTGAAGAACCTATCAGAGCTTAAGAGCAAAGTATCCCTGATGTTTGCTGCAGGCTTGACGGTGCTCTATTCCAAGCCAGTGATGAATTCCCACCAACTTTACTGTGAAGAATTTCCTCTAGTCTCAGGTAAGGACAGAAGTTGAAGTTAGTAAGAGTTCCAGATCCTTAGCACTATGCAATATAGTGCTTAGATTACATAGGGAACAAAACCAATGACAACAAACAGCAACAGCATGAACTGAAAATAACACTATTTTCCTCCTTTACTCATCTGCCATAGCTCTAAATGAAAGTGTATCTGAGCCACTTAATAATTTTCAAGGAAAGGTGGCCTTTAAAAGCCAGAACTTATGGAAAAAATATTAAGATGATGAGATGCATTTCCAAATAATAGAAAAAGGAAGTAACTGTGGTTGCACAGATACCATAAGGCAGTTGCTTGCCGTTGAAATATGCTTTTTTTACTGTTGATTTACCACACTTGTATTTTACATACATTACTCAAAACCCCTTCCCCATATGATAAAAGCCTTGTCCAAGAGACAGTCTGTGTGTGTCTGCATGTGCACGTGTGTGTGAAAACTGAAGAAAGCATTCGTTGCGTATTTAATAGAGCTGACTACAGTCAACAAAATGGAGATTTCCAAGGCAATTATTCCTAGAGTTGATCGCAGTCCCAGGGCTGCAAGTCAGACAAAAAGACAAGCCATGCCAAGCAGCAGTGAAGGAGTTAAAGATATGCAGTATCTGCAGATTTTAGCATTATCTCAAAAGAACAAATGGGGCAGTGGGGGTATTCTTGACTCCAAGAGGCCAGATTTTCACTAAATGTCTCACAAATTATTAACAGCATTGATGGTACATATGGTTACTTGACAAAACATTAAATTTCTCATTGCAATCATTAAGATATGATAGTGACTTGTGATGCAGAGTTACAACAAAGGCTAAGCATTAAAATAAGCAACATGGTATTTCTGTATTCCTAAAGATGGGTTTAAGGTTGGTTTTCATTAAGCATAGCAAATGAATACACCACAACTGCACATTATCAGAGTGCCATTTCCAAAGGAGACAGGCTGTACTATAATCGCTACTTTTCTATGCTGAAGCGTGAGACTTTCAGAAAAATGAGGAATTATGGAGTCTATACATCTACCACCATGACGTTTAAAAATTAACCAAGACACATTCACGAATGCTTTACTAAGGCTTCATGAAGTACGTTCTGTAGACAGCAAAAGCCAGTAATGACGAGAGGTACTAAAGTTAGCTTCAGCATGGACCAGCAAGACATTTACCGATTAAAGTAATTTTTCAAACAACTGTATTCTTAAAATGGTACTTACCCTTGAAAAAGGGTAGGGTAGGTAAATTTCAGGACAGACAGGACGTACTGGAAAACAAATACCAAATTAATGGACATCAAACACATACAGCTTACAACAGTAACAAACAATCAGGAGAGCAACAAAACAGAAAAAGATTCTACCACAATTAAAAAAAAATAAAAATCAGTAATTTCTCTTCCCATGCCACAGCTGCTGGATGCTGCCCCAGTCAGTGTGGAAAGTAGCAGACACTAAAGTACACGAGGCATGGAGTGGACCCACTGAAAGGTGGAGAGAAGGCTGGCTTCTGAATTACGCTCTTACTTTCTGAGTGCACTCCATGCATCGCATTGAATGGGAAAAGGATTAACAGGACCAAAAAGACACAAGAACTTGTCAATTAGAATCATATCATACCACAGAGGCAACCTTTGGCAGAATCAAGACCAATAGTCTTAACATAATTGTTTCCTCATGATTAGTTCATCTTACAGACCTAACACTCTGTTAGTACTCGATGTACCATTTTGTGTAAAATATTAAGCAGCACATAAAGCCCTTTGGAGATGTGATATATTGTGGGGGGAAAGCAAATCCTCTGCATTGTTGCTTTAGCATGCTTTGTCAGGGTCTGCATGTATGGATGCTAGTGTCTTTTCCCACTATATATGTATATATCCAAATATGAGGCAGAAATACATATGCATTTCGATATGTATATCAGGATCTAACAACTTCCCGTAATGACGTACATAAATACTATTTCTGTAGTGGAGATGAAGCTTCCTCGGAGGAAAGGAAAGGTACCTGCCAATCCTTCCAGGAGCCAACAAAAGCTGTCAATGGCAAAAGAAGCTGAAAGCTTTCAACAGAGAGGAAACTGGGCTGAGCACTTTGCAAGGTCCAGTTTTTAGGTGTGAGGGGCATTGCCAAGAAGGTGGCATCAATATACAAAGACAAGGTATGTTGATTCACAAAGGGCCACATTACACATACACTTATCAGAACTGCCACGTCGGTTTTAAATAACGACGATATACCTGCACATGTCTGTACCCCCCACTTGCATGTACATACCACCTGCAACAACTGCAAGTTCTATATTCTGGTTATTTTTATTACATTAAAACCTACATTCAGGTTTGCAAATGGAGGCCCTATGCCAAAGTCCTTCCAACTTTCTCTCAAGTACAATTAAGCCAAGCACTTTTTCCAATGCATGATGCAATCTGGCAGCTCTTCTAGCCCCTTCCTGTTTAATTAATCACTGCTCCTAGCAGTCTGTCAAATCAAGTGTATTATCTCTCCCTACAAACTTTGCTTCATGTCTGGACTTCAGTCTACTTCTGGGCATCCTTAATGGCAAGCGTACCTTGGAACAGAAACCAGTGGCCAATGCTGAGAAGAGATTTCATTTTCACCTCTGAGACGCTGCTTTTCTCTAACTCTCCCTCAGGAAACCCTGACTGCTTCAAAACTATCTTTTCTTTCAGAAATCTGCACCAGAAACAGAGACACTCTCTAATAAATAGGACAGCAAGGAATAGTTCCTCTACCTCCTCCTCCCAGAGTGAGCAAACGACTTCAAACTATGTTCAAACTATAGAATTTTACTCACAGCATGGCCGCCTTCAGCCTACTTCTCTTTCTGCTTACAGCTTTCAGCAACACCAACAGGCAATTAAGTTGCACAGTGGAAAACAGACTTCTTGTCCTTAATTTGCAGGTTAATTAAACTGTCAAACGGTCCATGGAAGTTAATAAGTGTTTCACCACTGCTATGAATACTTCAGATTTTGCCCTTGGATACTTGGTATTATTACTATTGCAGTCAACGGATCTTTCGGGAATAACTGTGCATTCAGCCGTTGCTAGATACCAAATAATAAAATATACTCAGCATCACTGATGCTTTTTTAAATTTTCCTGGCCCTATAACTGACATCTTATTCGAGTAATACCATGTCACCCCTTTACTCTCCTAAATATGCCAGTATTGAACATAAGTGTCACGGAAAAGTAACGATGTCACACATCGAGAAAAAGGAGACCGGTAGAAAACAGATATATCCTCAATCACGGGTGCACGCTGGGACGGGGGCGGTGGGCCTTTGGGCTGAAAGGTCGGGGGGATTTCACTCGTGTGGCAGCCCTC